TACTCTTCGGCCAACTGTTGCGGCGTTTCGTATGTTTTGCTTCAAATGAGATTCGATGGACTCATTGGGTTCGCCGGCGGAGAAGTGGATGTCCACGACGTGACCGTCGATGATATCATTGAAGCCACTAATCGGGAACTCAACGAAGAGATCGCTTACGACTTGAGTGGCGTCACCGCCGAGGAATGGATTTGTTCCCATCGAGACGTCGGCTCTTCATTCATACAACATTTCTTCGCCAAAGAACTGACTTTCGATGAGTTGAGACAATTAGAGACCACTCACATGACTGCCCAACACTTCCCATCCGAGTCTTTAGGTGTGTATTTTGATGGAGTGGTGACTGAATTGATTCATTGAATTGTCTGTATTTCAGGTGTATTTCGTGTCCCAATCGGAGGCTTTGATCAAAAGGAGACCTCAAAAAAGTTTTTGCGAAACTTTTTGCGCCAAAAATTTGCCGGAAATGCGAGACAACAGTTCATCGAAACCATTAAGAAGTTATCACTCATTAGCAGTGAAGACCAAAAGTGGATTGAATCCAATGAATGCCACGACATTGACGACAATTTACTCAATGGACACGACGTGTCCGTAGAAGTGAAGGCACTGTTGCGGACGGAACTACCCGTTCATTATTACGACGAGAGCGTAGACGTGATCTACGGTCTGATGGTTATCAGAGATAACGGACTCTTTGACTTTATTGGCACTCAATTCGTTGAATCTAATGATCAAAATTTAATGATTGATGCCTTAAATAATAAACTAGAAAAGGATTTGGGAAGCGATTGGTCAGCAATTGATTGGAAATGCGGTGCCATTCCGTTATCATTGGACAACGACTCGAGTAATGTATTTTGCATTGACTTAACCGCCGATCAATTCACACAAATTGAAGAGCACTTCACTAAATCCAAGAGTTTTGGCGTTAAATCGTATGGTCTGATCCGCATTCCCTTCTTATTCCGGGGCTCAACACAAAAGTCGGACTCTTATGTGAACCGATTCTTTAATGGGTTTCTTAAACAACATTTCGTCAATAATTCAAAAATGCATTTAAAACATATTTATGACAATAATTACAAAAATCACTTATAACTAACACCTAATCTTAATTGTAATAGTTATGAATTATACGTAATTTAAATGCTGACACTCTTTCTATGAATCTTATTTTATTTATCAATTCATATAAAGTTATTTCATAAATTTTAATAACTAATAATTGCAATATTTACACTAAATACCGGTGAATTGTGTAATATTTATTTTATTTACTTATTACTTTATATACCAATTGTACTGTTAATTACTATTAAGCAATTAAATTATGTTTATAAATATGATTTACGATGTCTACTGAAATTAATTGCCCAACTCGTAAGATTAGATTTATTGTTTTTACTGCTAATAATAATTATAATGTATTATGTGATTGACAATCACTTATTGTTTCAAACACTATAACATCTGCCGGATGTGCTTAAATGTCATCGATTGCGTCCATACAAACCCTACCCCTATATCCACAGTAATTATCACAAAAAATGTTATAATTTTTAATAAAAGCACAATTACTCCCATTGTTTTGTAATACACCAAATTAATAATTAAATTAATGAAGCAAAACAGCTTGTATAGTATTATATAATTCTTATAAGAATTTAACCATGTGTTATATAAGCTTATAGATCACTATAAAAAGATAGAATTTAGTTATTGTTATTTTATTTTTTAATTACTTTTATCTTAAAGTTGTTTTTTAATTGTGATTTTTTAAAATGAAAGCCTATTTAATTTTATGTGTATTGAATTTAATCGCTTTAATTAGCTGTCAATTGCAATGCAGAGACGAGACGGGGAAAGAAGTTGACTGGTATGTGGTCTATAAGTTGCCGCGAATAACGGGCGCTAAACCTCCTCTGGAGACGGGCGCTAATTATGCTTATATGACGAGTGAATCCAAGTCCGGATGGATTCTTTCTGATCGCAATATTACCGATGAAAAGTCCATATTTGGTCAAACATTGGCACCACTTTATGTCAAAACCATAGACCCGTCAATAAGTTATTTAAATTATAACGATCAGCCGCCCAACGATACTGCAACTCACGGCGCCGCTCACGCTAAAGGGGTCGTCGCCGCTAATGGCAAACAAGGCTTTTGGCTCATCCATTCAGTGCCACACTTCGCCCCAATTGAGGTTCAAATTCAATAAAAATAGTAAAATTAGTAACATTTATCTGACATCAAACAGACTGACCATCAGTATGTATACCCCTCGACGGGCACGATGTACGGACAGACGGCTCTTTGCATATCAATCGATATCAATCAAATTGACAAAGTGTTCACACAATTACTTTATATGCAATCATACGTTTACCAAATGAATATTACTCCAGAATTGGCTAAACAGTCCACAAAAATTGATGCCCTGAAGAGAAAAGAGTGGGATTCTGGCAAAAAGAGTGTCGTGAGTATAACGAGTTCCGGTGGCATCGCTTTCACCAGTTTTAGCAAAAGTCCCGCAGATCTCGTCGATCTGTACTCCGGTATCGTTGCGTCCGAACTCGACATTAATCTCTACGTCGAGACGTGGCGTAAGGGAGCGGGAAGTCCACTGCCCTCCGAGTGTGACCTGAAAGACACGGTCGAGAATGTGCACGAAATTAGCCTCTCTTTCAATAACTCCAAACTGACGGGTGTTTTCGACTATCTTCACGATCACAGCAAATGGGCGATCAGTAAGACATCGACCGCACCGTACGTCTGCTTCGGAGACATTAACCGAATGAAGTCTCAGTTCAAGAGAGGCGGCGCTACCACTTGTTTCAAGAACCCTCT